GTCGATTCAGAAGAAGATGATGTGCATTCCCATTCTGATTCTTATGAAGAGTCAGATTTGTAGATGAATTATTAAGATATTTTCATGATAATTAATAAATTGTAACTTATATAATTGGTATACATGGATATTGTCGATATAATATATATATTTCTATATGTCAGGTGTTTTATACATATGAGACTAGGTCACCGAGCCACCATAGCAGCTAGTAAGGCTACATCCTCTGATACACCTACTAGGGCTACATCCTCTAGTACACTTGTTAGGGTTTTATCATTTGATACACGTACATCACAGCCTATCCCAAACACATCTATTGCAGGCACTGAGGGTAGCAGTACAGGTTTGATGCTACTTTCTTTACCAAACATATTTTTTCTTAAAATGGTGAACTAACATCTATTATTAATGTTTGTGCAGCTTCTTCCTCCAAGAAACGAGCTCAAGGACCGTCTAGAGGGAAAAATGTAGAGCTTCTTCGTGCAGCTCATAACCCGCTTGATGCTTTGATTCTTGATGAAGTCGGTGTTACAGTGGGTGTACATTGTTTGAAGGTGATGGGAGATATTGGCTCCCTAGTGAGAACATTTGCTCCTATTAGAAATGTCTACATGGTAGTGGGAACTAACCGGCCTTTTTGGTGTCAAGCGGCTTGGTTTTTACATGACGGTTTCAAGGATTTTTTGTAGGAAACTTGGAAACAGGAGGTGACTTTACCTAAAGTTGTTGATGATTTTGTGACTAAAGCGAAAGTTTGGAATAGGAATGTGTTTGGCAATATTTTTCAAAAAAAGAAGCACTTAGAGGCTCGTATTCGGGGTGCTCAACAGGTTTTGGAGGTTCGGAAGTCAGGACTTTTGCAGAGGCTGGAAAGGGAACTAGTTTTGGAGTTGGAAATCGTTGTGCACCAAGAAGTTCTTTGGACGTTGAAATCCCGTTGCCAAAAAAAATCCAATTAGGTGATCATAATACCTCTTACTTTCATCGAAGTACCATTGTCTGACAGCGGATAAGATAGAAATGTTGCAGAATGAAGGAGGAGAAGGGGTTACAGATACAAGTATTTTAAAGCAGTTAGCCCATGATTTTNCAATTAGGTGATCATAATACCTCTTACTTTCATCGAAGTACCATTGTCTGACAGCGGATAAGATAGAAATGTTGCAGAATGAAGGAGGAGAAGGGGTTACAGATACAAGTATTTTAAAGCAGTTAGCCCATGATTTTTTTGTGCATTTGTATACGTGTGAGAGTGATGTAGTTCCACCTTTTCCGATGAGAGGGAAATTTCCTGGTGCTTTGCGGAATGTAGCTGACTTGGATTTTCCTATTAGCAAATAGGAGGTCTGATTGGCTATTTTTGGTATGGGGGCTCATAAAGCGCTGGGTCGGGATGGTGTGCAGGTGGTTTTCTATCAACAAAATTGGAAGTTGGTGGGTGAATCTCTATTCCGTTTTGTTTGTGATGTTTGGAGTGGTTCTCAAAGCTTGAATCCTGTAAACTCTACTTTGATTGCTCTTATTCCTAAGGTGCCAATGCCAGTCTTTGTTGCCCATTTCCGGCCTATCAATCTTTGCAAAGTGACCTATGAAGTGGTAACGAAGGTCATTGTAAATAGACTAAAACAATTTCTCCCCGATTGGATTCACCCAAATCAAAGCAGCTTTGTGCCGAGCCGTAACATCTACAATAATATCATTTTTGCTTAGGAGGTTATTCAATCTATGAAGTTGAGAGAGGGAAAAAAAGTTTTGATGGCTATTAATCTTGATTTGGAGAAAACTTATGATCGGCTTAGATGAGATTTCATTCAGGATACTTTAGTTGATATTGGTGTGTCTGACCGCTTTGTTCATTTGATAATGAGATGTGTTACATCTTGTGATATAAGTGTGCTATGGAATGGGGACATGACAAATAGTTTTTGGTCGTCTAGGGGTATCCGTCAGGGTGACCCCCTATCTCCATATCTGTTTGTTCTATGTGTGGAAAGATTGAGCCACCTGATTAAAGCCAAAATTCAGGAAAAGGCTTGGAAACTAGTAGTGCTTGTGAAGGATGGGCCACCGTTGTCTCACCTTTTTTTGGCGGATGATATTGTTCTTTTTACGGAAGCCACATTGGAGCAAGCCTGGGTGATCAAAGATTTCCTTTCCATCTTTTGTTCGTCTTCAGGCCAGAAGTTGAGTTCTAATAAAACTTAGTTGTTTGTGTCTAAAAATGTTTCAAGAGGCCTAGCTAGAGCTATCAGTAATTAAGTTCAATTTGGCCTCACTACAAATTTGGTAAAAAATCATGGTGTTCCGTTGATTCGTGCGAGAGTTACTAGAGCTACTTATGGGGAAATGGTTGATAGAATCCACTCCAAACTTGCAACATGGAAGGCTGATACTTTGTCCTTAGCGGAGAGAAGAACACTTGTTCAAGCAGTGATTACGGCAATGCCCAATTATGCCATGCAAACTATTAAACTTCCCTTGTTAATATGATCAGAAATTGATAAGTGCAATAGAGGGTTCTTGTGGGGATCTTCAGCTAGCAAGAGGAAAATCTCCTTAGTTTCTTGGGATCATGTTTGTCAACCTAAGATAAATGGAGGATTGGTAATTAGGAGGATGGAAGCCTTTAATGATGCTTTCTTGATGAAGGTAGTTTGGGCCATGTTGACGGCATCCTCGGAGTTATGGGTGAAGGTACTATTATACAAATATTGTAGGAACACAAATGTCTTAATGGAGGTCCCAAGAATTTTTAAGTGCTCGTATTTGTGGAGGATGTTTGTAGTGTTTGGAGTAGAGTACTTCAAGGGGTGAGATGGTGTATGGGCGATGGCCAAACTGCTAGGTTTTGGAGCGATTGGTGGGTGCCGAACATGGGGCCTCTAGAGCATCATAGACTTTCAGACTTGGCTAATGACAGTGTTGATATAAGGGTGGCAAACTTGGTGGGTGAAGATGGCTCGTGGGATTGGCATTATATTGAGGGTTTTTTAGCCCGAGGTGTGCTCTCGGATTACTGTTATCCCTCCACCAGTTTCTAGCTTAGGTCATGATCAAATTTTATGGGAAAAGAGTATTGATGGTCATTTCTCGGTTCGATCAGCGTATGAGGTTCGAGTGTCTCCTTATTTTCAGCCTCAAGATGATAGTTGGTGGTTAGTGTGGAAGTGGCAAGGTCCAGAGAGAGTGAGATTGTTTTTATGGCTTGCTTTGCATAGTAAATTGATGACCAACAAGGAGAGGGTGAGACGCCATCTAAGTGTGTCAGCTGGGTGTTCTCACTACATGACCGTGACTGAGAATATATTGCATGTTCTTCGTGATTGTGTCGCAACTCATAAGGTATGGCGCTCGCTTGTTCCTGTAGAATTGGAGCATGACTTTTTTAGCAGCCCATTACATGCATGGTTGAGAAACAATTTGAGTTCAACACATGTGATATTCAACCGGCCTTGGACTATAGTTTTTGGCATGTGTTGTTGGCTTTTGTGGCAATGGCGAAATCGGACTAATTTTGACAGTGATTTTGTGAGGCCGATTCAGCCAGAACTAGTGGTGTGGGAGAAAGTTTATGCAATTTAGGTGGCTCAAGATATGGGACTGCACAATAATGGAGGAGATAAAGAGAAGGTTTGGGCACAAGTCGTATGGACTCCCCCAAAGAATGGCTGGGTTAAATTGAATACAGATGGCTCATTTTGGAAGCATACGGGTCACGTCGGGGCTGGTGGTCTCATTAGAGATGCTACGGGTAAATGGCTTGTTGGTTTTGCTCATAATATTGGAGCTTGCTCTATTGTGTCTACAGAATTATGGGTTGTTTTAGATGGTCTGCGGATGGCTTGGGAGTAGGGGGTTAAGCATATTGAGCTGGAGGTTGACTCCAAAACGATGGTTGCTATTCTACGTGAAGAAGGGGAAAATGATCACCGTTCTTTGGTCTTACAAATTCAAGCACAATTACAGCTTGAGAGGCATGTTCAGATTCAGCATGTTTATCGGGAAACAAAGGCTTGTGCAGACTGGTTAGCCAATTTGGCTCATTAGTTGGCTTTAGGGAACACTGTTTTCTAGAGGCCTCCTATAGGGATCCTTTCCCAAATTGATTTGGATGCGTATGGTGTCTATTTTTATAGGTTGATTACTAGTTAGTTTTGGAATTCAACTCTCTTTGTAACCAAAAAAAAATTATAATTAATGACATCATCTTTGACTGATAACAATTCTAGCGTCTGTTAGTTGGACGGGATGTGTCTGTTACAAGTTTTAAATGTCAAGGGAGGTTGGTGTTATTTTTAAAATGTGAGGAAGTGTTCGTGTAATAAAACCAAATGTAGGGGATTTGAATGATATTTTTCCTTGATTAAAATATTGACAATTATATTTAATTGACTTTTTTTAATCTTTGAAATCTTATCACTCAACTTATTTATTATGTCAAATAATTAAATTCACATGTAGAGTTTGACATGGATAAAAATTATGAGTTTCTTCAAGATGACATTATCAACTCATTTAAATATAAGAACATGATTTTTTACAATCACCCAATTCATAGAGTTGATTGACTCAAATATAAATATCACTCTTTAATAAATTAAAGTAACAATCATTATATGCACATGTCGATTAAATATATCATGATTAAAAGTTTAAGCAATCACAATAACAAGGAGTTAATTATTTTTTTCTTTAGTCAGTAAAAAGATAATATCCTCAATAACAATCATGTTCAATACATAAAGTATACTAGTACAATAATCTAAGATATCAAATAGTCTCCTATAACCAAGACAACCTATGCCAAAAAATTTCACTACAATCCTATTAATGACATATGTCTAATTTCATCTAAAAATGTGAACTTTTACTCGTATCATATTAGAATCTGATAATCTTATCTTCTGTGTATAAGGCGAACTCTACACAAGATTATCAATAATGTAAAATAAAAGACATACTACATACCATATATTTAATATATTGTAAATATTTCACCCACACACATTTTCATTGAAAAAGAAAATAAAATTTTTATTATTAAATAATAAACTAATTTTTCCTATAAAAAGCAAGTTTTTAGTACATTACACTATCAGTCTCAGAAGGCGAATACAGAACATACTATCCTTGACCCACATATGACCTATGTAAATCATTCTGCTGCATCAGCTTGGGTGACCACTTCTTCCATGGTACTGTGTAAACTTTTATCTTCTCCTTCAACATCCCTGTAAACATATACAGAAACATAACCGTAGATGATGACTAGGTTCCCTAGGCTAAGTATCGCTAAAATTCCATAATAATTATCCAAATGACTACTGTTTATGGTGTGACCAAACCATGTTTTGAATGTTAAAACATAGAAAACGCTAATGAATTTTCCAATTCCAATTACAAACTCGTTGAATGATGGTCCATAGCTCTTGAGGGATGCTGCTACCTTGTAGTAGTAAAAGTCCACGACCCCATCTTCAGTAAGTCCTTGCATGAATCCCAATAGGCAGAACTGAGGTGCTAACCAGAATACACTCATGTTAATGGTTTGGTCGTCATAATCTCCATATCCTCGTTCTTCAATTAAAGACAATCTGCGAGCCTCTACCAGTCGAGCAGTAACGCAGCTTAAGAAAGAGCACCATATTCCAAGGCCAATTTTCACTTTCATAACACGTAATGGTTGAGCATTAGACCACCATTTCTGGACTACTAATTGGTACAGATATTTTATTGTGTACTCTGAGGCTGGTTGAATTAAAAAGAAAGCAATAAGAGGGACCTTGAATCCACCGATGCTAGGATCCAGATTGTCAAATTGCAAAACGAAGAAGGTGCTTCCCGTTGCTTTTACGATACAATATAGGAAGAAGATTGCCCACATAGGAATCATTCCTATAAGTTCCTTTACTTCTTTCACCTGCGTAGCAGTGCAAACGGTTTCTTCCTCTGCTTCTCCTGTTAGAATGCTGGAGATTGCTTTGTCTATCCACCTGCCAATCACCCAAAAGGTTGTGAAATTTGTAAAATGCTAGCTATATATGTAATGTACATATTTATATAAAGTACTAGTACTACAACCCTAGGCCATGCCCAAGGAAGGAATGTACAAAAAAGAGAAAAACAAAAGGCGGAAAGAGAGTGGATTGAGGCCGGTAGCAAGTGGTAGACTGGAACTATGGCAGCTTATTCTAGTTCTATCGACTTTAAGGAATTGTTCATTTTGAGGGACCTCATGTGGTATGTCATGTTCCATCAGGAGTAAACCAAACATTAGTGTTAAAATTATAAATTTGGATTATCAAAGCAGATACAAAATAACTTAACAGTAGAAAATTGCACTGATTCATCTTGACAATATGAACTGCCCAATATTTGTATAGCACATGTAATTTGTCCGAAATATAAAACTATGTATGTAAATACATTTGAAAGAATTGGTTTGAAATTAACCTTAACTTCGTATTCATATATCGTACTCGCATAGATAATATAGGATTTTCATCGGAAATTTTACTAAACACAATTGTGCCTCTATATGTGAAGATTCTAATGGACGACATCAACTGAAAGATCTAAACCATATGCTCACCACACTACTTCCTCAGGATTCATGACAGCAGTGGCGTGGCAAAATAATAATGTCTACATTGGCTATAGAAAACATGAAATGCTAAAGTGAAGCTTATTCCCCATCACTGTATAGGCTTATTAATATACTAGTAGAAATTTTGGACCATAAAAACCCAACAAGATAGTAATGGTCGCCATGCATCAGATATTGAAAAGACCCATTAAACTAAATTAACACCACATATTGAATATTTCTACTCTAAGATAAAATATTGAATGCCACAGACCATTGTCACATACTGTCACTATCCAATAACAAATCATCATATAGGCAAGTGAATCCTACTTAATTTAGTAATTACCCTATCCATGTATGAAAATAACTATTAAGTAGGGTTCACCTTGGCCAATTATAGATTTATTCCTATTCCAACTCCACCCACTAATAATTTATAAACAGAAAAAAGGGCTGGGGAAGGGAGTATATGGTGGTTCACCTGGTGCATGGAATTTCAGGCGATGATGTCACTGGATCACTATCAATTTTTTTAATCATAGGGAGATGTCTGTTGGATATAGCAGCCTTTACTACACGAAACACGACGACAAGCGAGCTCCCACTTGGTTCGTTTTGGTCCTTGTGGTATTGGTAGCAAGTGACGCCAGATAAAAACAACATAAAAATGAAGCCCATCACACAAGCTGATATTATGAATTTAGTCAGCCAAGAGCCTACGAATGCACTGACCACAAGTGCAAGAACAGCACCCAAGGAACCGGAAACCCACCACCAAACGTCTGTAAGGGCCTCCACTTTTTTTTCATCTTCTTCCATTGTTTTTTTTTTGGAGTCTGAAGAATCTTCCATACGTTGCTGATTCTTNCTTTGTACAGTAGTAGCTCCTGACCTGTAAATCGTGTTTGCATACAAAATTCAACAATACTTTCGAAAGCAATTAATACAGAAAATTAAATAAGTGTAAACTAAAATCAAATTGATTGATATTAATATTGAAATAATTACTAGAATAATTCCCCGACAATGGCGCCAAAAACTTGTTATCCAAATTTGATATCGACAATTTACGTGCAAGTATACACGATCAACAAATAATAAAGTGATAAATAGAGTATCGTTCCCATAGAGAATTATTAGTAATAACTTTCAAGTACTAACTTTGCATCAATTCAATTTAAACAATTGGAATTGGACAAGGAAATGACTAATTGAAAACTAAATCTAAACTTAATAATCAAGGATTGAATTTACAGGATAAAAGAAGTTAAGATTACAACTTCCCCTAATGCTTCGTATAAATCTTTTCACTCTCTTTCCAATTAATTGATCAAAATAAAATGTTAACTGAGAACTCAACGTTATTTATCAAACCTCTTCCGATAGTTAGATAAAGTTATCTCTCCTAATTAAATTATTATATTCCTATGCAAAATAATTTGGAATAGATTCATTAAGTTCAAACTCTCATAAAAGTTACACAAGGCATATAGGTATATTCTTATCCTATACACAAACCCAGCAATTCAATCCTAAGAAGAATTAACCAGACGCATGTCATCATATTCAGATCTAAACCTAGAATTCATTTCCCAATTTCATTTAGGCTATCAAATTAATTGTTGGCCACACAATCATATATTAAGCACAAAATATGACAAACAACTCATATATGATTAATAAAACTAGAAACGAAAGTAGATCAATTTAACCAGACATTAGGTTTCATTGCAATCTTAATTAGAATTTAGTTCATAATGTAATTGAAAAACATCATTCTCAAATTAAACATCTTAGAAAATTAAGAAGTAAAAGTAAGAGAAAAGAATGAAAACTTAGTTGCAATCTTCAATTCCTCTCTAGCCTTCAAGTCCAATCTTCTTCGTGTCACTTCCTTCAATTCTTGTCTTCAAATTTTTTTAATCCCTTGGTCTTTTCTTGGTTAGCAGCCCCCTAAAACATTATATCTCCATCCCAACTCAAACCCTAGCATATATGTAGCATTAGGGTTCAATTTCGGCCCTAAAACAAGTCAAAATTCTCGTCCAAAGCCAACACAAGTGCAGCAGCACTGAAAATCAGCGCAGGGGCGCTGAGTTACTGCTTTTCCAGCGCAGGGGTGCTAGTTTTGGCGCTGGGGCGCTGGTCCCCTTTCAAGCCTATAATTGCCCTTGTTGTTTAGTCTTCAAAAATTCAACACTTATGCTCTGTTTGGTACGATGAAAAATTGGGAGGATGGAAAGTCGGAAGGATGGAAAGTCGGAGAGATAAATAAAACATCATGTTTGGTAATGAAGAAAAGTAGTAAGGATGAAAAAGTGGATGAATTAACTTTCCTTCCAACTCATCAAAATTTATTCTTCCAAAATCGGAAGAAAAATGGATGGAAAGTTAATTATTTGTGTTGCGATGTATCTTATTTGTCTATATATATTTTTTTAAATATACATATAATATATATACAGTAATTTCATATAAAAATACAATGATAAAATATATATACAGTAATTTCATATAAAAATACAATGATAAAATATGTATATATATATATATATATATATATATATATTTAAAAAAAATTTAAAAATAAATTTTAAAAAAATTAAAAATTAAAAATTTCAAATTAAAAAAAAATATATTTTTTCCATCTTAACTAAGGGTGAAAATTTTCAACTCAACACGATGACACGAATCGAACTCGATACGAAAATAAACAGGTCAACTCGCAACTCAACACGACACAATTAGTTAAATGAGTTAAGTTAGGTTTGACTAATATTTGACACAAACCCGTGATGACTCAATACGAATCTGATACGACACGACTCAATTGTCACCCCTAATCTTAGTCAACACAAAAAAAAAAGTTATTTTTATTTTTCATCCATCTAACCAAACACAAAGGAAGGAAAGTGTATCCTTCCTACTTTCCATCCTTGAAGGATAGAAAGTGTATCCCTCCTACTTTCCATCATTTCTATTTTCCATCCTCCCTACCAAACGGAGCATTAGGCTCCAAATTGACCTTGTTTCCTTCCCACTAATCTTGTTTGCTTCCAAATGATGATTCCTATCAAATAACATCAAAACACACAAAACAAATAAAAAAAGACATAAAATAATTGAAAACTTGCAAATTCATCAAGCCGAAAATACTCAATTTGTAGGTATAAAACCCACTCATCAATCTGCAACAAACATATCGATTCCAACAACTTGATTTACTTTGTCGCATATCGTGTACTCAATACTTATCATATGTACTTCATATTTTAAATATATTCTTATCATTGTAATAACCTGAACTATATAAATAAACCAATACACGGACTGGTTTGGTATTTAGACCAGAACTCTTCATTTATATCCTATTTCTTTTATGGTATCAGAGCGAATCTGCTCACCTACTTCTATATTGATCCTTCAGTTTTCCAACCTGTCTAATGGCTGCCACGTCATCTTTCAATTTTGTTACCCCCAATCTTAGCCATCTTGTTTCAACTAAGTTGGATGAAACCAACTATCTCATGTGGTGTCTGAGATTGTTCCGGTTCTCGAGAGCCATGATATAATGGGCTTCGTGGATGGTTCTTTTCCGTGCGCATCTCAANGTCTGAGATTGTTCCGGTTCTCGAGAGCCATGATATAATGGGCTTCGTGGATGGTTCTTTACCGTGCGCATCTCAATTTCTCATTGATGATCAAGGGAAACAAACAACTACTCTCAATCCTGAGTATATCCTATGGAATCGAAAGGATCAATTTGTTTTAGGATGGATTAATGCCACTCTGTCTGATAAAGTGGCACCATCTGTGTATGGTATCAATTTGGCGCGACCTGCTTGGCTTGCCTTGGTCAACAAATTTGCATCTCCATCTTAGTCTCGCATTAAACACTTGAAGCGGCTCTTACAAACTTTGAATCAAGGGTCCATGAAGTGTGTTGCTTATCTTGATTCTGCAAAGCAACTAGCAACACAACTAGGAGCTGTTGGTAAACCCATTGATGATGATGATTTAATTGCTTATATTGTGAGTGGTTTGAATCATTCATTTCATCCTTTTGTCACTTCTCTATCCCTTGCTACCTGAGACAAAGCTCTCTCATTTGAAGACTTCTAAGCTGAGCTATTATCCTGTGAGTTACTTCTAGAAACTCAACTCCATTCAGTCCCACCTGAAACCAATAATTTGGCCTTATTTGCTTCCAAACATTCTTAGCAACCTTACAATCGAAAGCCAAAATACCAGACAAAACTCCACCCACAAACCTCTCGTACTCCATACTACTCCAAACAGTCAGCNAGTGGTTTGAATCATTCATACCATCCTTTTGTCACTTCTCTATCCCTTGCCACCCGAGACAAAGCTCTCTCATTTGAAGACTTCCAAGCTGAGCTACTATCTTGTGAGTTATTTCTAGAAACTCAACTCCATTCAGTCCCACCTGAAGCCAACAATTTGGCCTTGTTTGCTCCAAAACAGTCCCAGCAGCCTTACAATCGAAAGCCAAAATACCCGACAAAACTCCACCCACAAACCTCCCGTACTCCATACTACTCCAAACAGTTAGCACCTAATACCCACTCTTATCCTTCCCCTCGACCCAACCAACCCCAGCAAACTTTTAACACCCCACGAACCCCTTGCCAAATCTGTGGCAAAACAAGCCACCAGGCACTTTACTGTTTTCATCGCATGGACTATGCCTATCAAGGTCACCATCCTCCTACTCAATTAGCAGCTATGGTAGCTCAAACTAATGTTGTTCATGTTACCGAAAATCCTTGGTTCACTGACAGTGGGGCTAATCAGCATATTACATCCAATCTTGAGCAGCTGACTCTTGCACAACCGTATACTGGATAGGGCATGTTGTTGTTGGTAATGGACAAGATTTGAATATCAAAAATACTGGTTCCATTGTTCTCCATACACCTGCTTCTTTCCTTAAACTTAATCATGTTCTTCATTGCCCACAAGTCTCTGCTAATTTACCCTCTATTAATCAATTTTGTCTTGACAATCACTGTTACTTCATTCTAACTGATTCTCATTATTTTGTCAAGGACACCCGCACAGGGAAGACACTGTTGGAAGGACAGAGTAGTGGTGGACTTTATCCCATCAATTTACAGTCGTTAGTTCTCAATAAACCACTTGCACTGGCAGTGGTAGTAGGAGTCAAAGCATCAGTTCCAGTTTGGCATTCTAGATTAGGACATGCTTCCCATTCAGTTGTCACTCAATTATTAAATAAACATTCTCTACCTTATGCTGGTTCATTGAAAAATATTGAAGTCTGTGAGCCTTGTCAACTTGGTAAAGGCAAACAACTTCCCTTTTTACATTCTCATAGAATAACAAGTTCACCTTTGGAACTTATTCATTCCGATGTTTGGTCTTGTTCAACCCAATCTCTTAGTGGTTGCCGTAATTATGTTCTTTTCATTAATGATTTCTCACGGTTTACATGGCTTTATCGTCTTCAACATAAATCTGATGTCTATGTATGTTTTCTCAAATTTNTTGATGATTTCTCACGGTTTATATGGCTTTATCCTCTTCAACATAAATCTGATGTCTATGTATGTTTTCTCAAATTTAAAGTTCTTGTTGAAAATCAATTATCTTGCAAAATTAAGAACTTCCAAACTAATGGAGGTGGGGAATACATGTCCAAACCATTTCAATCATTTCTTGAAATGAATGGAATTCATCATCGCATCACATTTCCCCACACTCCTCAACAAAATTGTACTGCCGAGAGAAAACATAGACATATTACTGAAATTGGATTATCCTTACTCGCTCAATCTCATTGCCTCTCATACTGGGTTGATGCTTTCTTA